TTTTCCAAGAAACAGGTGAGGTTCCAAGCATAATGAAGAACCCAGAAACTGACCGGCGAGTTAAAGGGCAGCTGGCCCAATCTGAATCACAGAAAGCATGAATTTTGAGATCACTTTTGGAAGAAAGGAGGATACCTTGGCCAGGATTCATTTTGATGTATCTTAGTACCCGAATGGCAGCCTCATAATGTGCTTCCTTTGGAGCTTGCATGAACTGTGAAAGAGTGTGCACTACATAACTCAAATCAGGACGAGTGATCGTAAGGTACACTAGCTTGCCGACAATTCTTCTATAGCGACCTGGATCATCATAGTCAGGTCCATCTGCCAGAGCTAAGCGATGATTCTGTTCAATTGGAAACTGAACCGGTTTACAATCCAACAAACCTGTTTCTTTGAGGATATCTAATGCATATTTTCGTTGGCACAAGAAGATACCCTCATTGCTACGGGCAACCTCGATGCCCAAAAAATATTTCAAGTGACCCAAATCTTTAATTTTAAAACACTTGTTAAGATAAATCTTAACCTCTTGACATGCTTGGGAATCATTGCCTGCCAACACCAAATCATCAACATAGACTAGTATGGTCAAGAAGGTAGAACCACGCTTCAAAGTGAACAAAGTGTGATCTGCTTCGGATTGAACAAAACCGTATTTAATAAGTGAGGAACTCAACTTTGCAAACCAATTCCTGGGAGATTGTCGTAAGCCATATAACGACCTTTGCAAACGACACACTTTTCTTCCTTGTCCTTGATTAAAGCCTGCCGGTATGCGCATATACACTTCTTCGTCCAGTTCTCCATTAAGAAACACATTATGAACATCCATTTGGTGCAAGTACCAACCTTTTGCAGCTGCAACCGAGAGTAGAGTTCTAACACTCACCATTTTCGCTACAGGAGCGTAAGTTTCATGGAAATCTTCTCCTGGAACTTGATGATTACCTGCAATTACCAACCTTGCTTTGTAGCGCTCGATGCTACCATTGGAATGATATTTAATTTTATATACCCATTTACATGGAAGGGCATGTTTGCCTGCAGGTAAATCAGTGATAGTCCACGTATTATTTTCTTCTAGTGCATGTATCTCCTGAGCCATAGCTTTACGCCAAACATCATTGGTCATTGCTTCTTTAAATGACCGAGGTTCACTACCTGCATCAATAGCAGCAACAAAAACTCGATGTTTTGAAGAAAAATTGTTAGTATTCACATAGTTGGCAATTGGATACCGTATACCTGAGGTGGAGCTAGAAGAGGTGAGACTGGGAGTGTATGTATGTGCCTCAATCAGATTACATTTGTAGTTACTCAAATAGGACGGAGGCCTTCGTGTGCGTGCTGGACGAAGAGAATCGTTTTGAGCTGATTCTGCACTTCTTTGCACAAGTTCGTGAGTTGAATCTTCATTCCTTTGTACGAGAGCAGGAGCTGGATCCTCACTCCTTTGCACTTGATCAGCATTTGATGTAGAATCTTCATTCGGCTCCCTTTCAGACTGATGGACACTCCCCCTATCTTCCAACTGCACCTCTGCCTCACAATCATTTGAAGTTGATTGAGATACTGGATTGGCAGAATCATTAGAATCTATTGGTATAAATGTAGGTAATGATGGGCTAGGTGTAGGCACACTTATAGCAACAAAAGGAAACTCATCTTCGTGGAAACTGACATCTCGTGACACAAAGAATTCCTTAGTATTAAGATCATACACTCTCCAACCTTTCTGCCCATGAGGATAACCAACAAACATACACCGCCTAGACCGTGGACTAAATTTGTTTGTAGGTTTTGGTTGTGTCACTGCATAACATAGGCAACCAAATATCCTTAAGTGACTGTAATCAGCAACAGATCCATGCAAAAGCTCATAAGGAGTTTTGCCATTGAGAAGCTTTGTGGGAGTTCTATTAATAATATGAGCTGCTGTCATCACACTCTCTCCCCAGAATTTGATTGGCAAGTTTGCTTGAAACAAAAGAGCACGAGACACATTTAGAATATGCCTATGCTTCCGTTCTACCCGACCGTTCTGTTGCGGCGTATGAACACAGGATTTCTGATGAAATATACCATTGGCAGTGAATAATTCAATCATCTTGTTGGAAGTAAATTCAGTTCCATTATCTGATCTAATACTCTTAACTGTTGTATTAAACTGATTTTGCACCATTAAAAGAAATTTTCGTAACACACCAAAAGTTTCACTTTTGTCACCCATCAAACAAACCCAAACAGCACGACTGAAGTCATCGACTATCGTTAAAAAATAATAAGCACCAGAGAAAGAGGAAGTGCGGTAAGGACCCCATGTATCACAATGAAGAAGATAAAAAATTTTATTACTCTTTCGATCACTAATGGGAAACGAGGATCGATTTTGTTTGGCACGATAACAAATATCGCATGCCTTATTGTTTACATTGCCAAATCGAATGCTACTAGAAAAAGGAATCAGAGAAAGTGCTTCGGATGATGCATGGCCCAACCGCTTGTGCCAAAGTTCTTGTGTATCACTGGAGCGAACTGTTAAAGCTGCTGCTTGGCTTGGTCGAAACACATACACACCATCCCTGTGATCACCCAATCCAATCTCCGTCCTCAGCTTGCGGTCCTGCAAAACACAACTATTATTAGTGAATACCACATCAACATTATGTTGTCGTACCAACTGAGATACAGATATCAAGTTACACTTTAAATTTGGCACAAATAAGACATTGGATAATGAAAAAGAAGGAGTAAACGAAACAGATCCTTGTTGCACAGCATAAGTAATAGCTCCATTGGGTAAACCGATTGCCAAAGGTTCAACATCTGTAACATTCTCCAGCAATTCCAATACCCCTGTCATGTGGCGTGATGCACCACTATCTATAAGCCAGTGACAATGGGAATCTTTACGATTTAATTTGTCCTTTGAGCGTTGCGGGTTGTCAACCAATGATAACAATTGTGTCACCACGTCAGGTGTCAGAACGGCGAATGCATTTGCTTGCTCTAGTGGTTCCTCCGTTTGAGCTGCGTGTGCACCAAATGGCTTTGCATGGAATCCTCCTTGTGGGTTACTGCTCCTATCACCACCGAAACGTCCACGTCCTCGTCCAGGTCCTCGTCCTCTGCTACCACCACGTCCAGGATAGCCAAATGCTTGCCAACATCGAGAGGCTTCATGATTAGTTTTCCCGCAGTGAATGCATGGAGGACGTTCAACAAACTTTTCCCAATTCTCGTAGTTGGCTTCTCCTCTCAGCATAACGGTTGTTAAAAGAATCCCTGGGCTATCTGATCCAGTCAGATAGAATGGTGATCCAGGGTCTGATGGCTTCAACCTGCTGCTGTTTTCATTGGCCATCTTCAACAGAAGCTATCTCCTGCTCACTGTTTTCAAAGTCTACACGTTGCGGAAGTTTTTTTTTTTTAACAAGGGATCGCTCTGATACCATGATAAATGGTATCAATTGATAGTATTTCCATTGATTTAAAACTGTACATCAATGTATCTTAAATAAAATAGGCTGTTACGGCTGTTACCAAACAGTCTGTTACCAAATAGTAAAACAACTTCCTAAAGATAAGTAACTACACCTAATTACAATAGGACTCAGTTATACATATCCTAACAAACTACAGGTTACAACATATCACAACAAATCATAACAACATATAGAATCTTCTATTCCAACATGAAGGCTTTCACTTTATTTTATTTTTCAGCCTCAAATTTCAGGTGTACTTCAATAAGAATTGAATTGAAGTACAAAAGGAAGATATAATGTACATATACTTGATAACAGTGAAACTCAAGTATAAAATTACAGCAAATAACATATATTTTCAAAGTTTTACTACTTGTAATTATTACTAATGAAATTAAATAAATTCCTAGCCATATTATTGTTATAAAAACAAGTGGATCAAATAAACAATTTTCACTGCACAATCATTAAAGAAACACACGGAAAATAAAGATGTAAATAATATTGCTGATAAGATAAAAAAAATATAGGAAAACAATCTCGCCCTCACCCATAACTTGGGGTTTTGCAAAATGGAGGTGGACTGTTTTATACATAGCTTTCACAAACAAAATGACGAAGTTCACCACATTGTAAAATTCCAAATCAAAATAACTACAGTGATCACCTCTCCCATCCCACCTCTAGAGTTGTGAGGAAGTTCTACCCTCTAATCATTCTTGCCTTCCCATAAAGGAAAGGTTTGGTGAGGGAGGGAACCTTAGGGCTTGTCAAAATGGTTAATGAGCATCAACAATCAAAATCCAAACTATTAAAAAAGAACATATTTATATGAAAACTTTGTAGCAATAAAAAACTCAAAATTAGACAAAATCTACATAATTATACAATACAAAACACAGAATTGGAATCTACTAAAAAAAAAAAAAATTGTATTTGATGTTTCTCACATTGGAAGAGATAAATCTATTTTTTACACTGAATTTTTTAAGATACATCCATTGCATCATTCATTCAGTGCGATCTGCCAATGAAAAGTGGAGAGAAATGTAAATTGCATGGAGTAGAGAAAGATTTTTTTTTATTTTTTTATCCATGGGTCATTTTTGAATGGAAGGTGCACTTACAATGAGTGCACCGAAAATACTATTCTTCTACACATATATAAAAATATGTGAGATCTATGTGAGATCATATAAAGAGAAAAAAAAGAAAAAAAGAAAGTATGAGTCTCATATATTTTTATATATAAAGAATAAAATTATCTTCTACTATACAAGAATAATAAATCATTTTTTTTTAATAAACCCTTCCAAAAACAACCCAGTGTACTATCCACTTGACTTGAGCAAGGTGTTCTGTGTAATAAAGCAAAAAAAAATATGTGGCCAGGACAATTCTGCAAATACATCTCTTTCTTTTTGGATCATTTTGCAATTTTGTCTTAAGAAGGGATCTAACCTATTTAACAATAACCATTCATCAGAATAAACATCCTACATCGCCGCCGCCGTCACGTCACGATGTGGAGGTCGATACTTGCAAGACATGCTTCTCGGAACACCGTCACTGCGTCGTCACGTTTTCAGGTCGCTCTCTCAAACCCTAACTTTCTGAAACCCTCATCCAAATCAACTTCTCTTTCCTCTTCCTCTTCGAGGGTTTTCCCTCAATTTGCATATTTTCACAAAACCCCTCGCTTCTTCTCCAATGAGGCCTCGCTCTCGCTCTCGGTTGATTCTTCAGAAAATGATGGTGGTGTTGTTCACGAGGCTATTGCAGAAGAAGAAGAAAAAGTAGTAGAAGAAGAAGAAGAAGAAAAAGTAGTAGAAGAAGAAGAAGAAATGTATGAGATTGACGTGAACAAGTTGGAGAACGTTCTGAGTCTTCTTAAGACTAGTGCTGATGGGTCGTTAGAGTCATGTCTTGATGACATGGATTTGACTCTACATCAAGATCTTCTAATCAAAATAATTGAAACCCCATTTGTTTTGGGTGAGAATCTCATAAGGTTTTTCAACTGGGCCTGCAATGAGAAATCATTTAAGGTCACAACCCCTGTTGTGGAATCTCTTGTTTTTGTAATATGCAGTGGTTTGAAGAAGAAACAAATTTACATTCTTTGGGACTTGGTTAAGGATATTGGTGAGAAAGAGGAGAATGGGGTGATCAATGTGAGGATTCTCAATGAATTGATAATTTCATTCTCAAAATTGGGAAAAGGAAAAGCTGCATTGGAGGCATTTGATAAATTTGAGGTTTTTCATTGTGTGCCAAATGAAGACACGTATTATTTTACAATTGAGGCTCTTTGTAGGCGATCAGCGTTTGATTGGGCTTGGACTGTGTGTCAAAAGATGCTTGATGCACAGAGTTTGCCTGATGGTGAGAAAGTTGGTAACATGTTATGTTGGTTTTGTAAAGGGAAAAAGGCTAAAGAAGCTCATGCAGTGTATATGGCAGCAATAGAGAAAGGGAAGCGTCCACCTATGTCTTCTATGAACTTTTTGATTGCTAAACTCTGTCAAGAAAATGAGAATGTGCAATTAGCTTTTGAGATGTTGAATGATATCCCTGGGGAGAGGAGGAAACATGCAATAAAGTCGTTTTCGGCTGTTGTTCGAGCCTTGTGTAGGATTAAAGATGTTGATGCGGCCAAAGAGTTGATCTTAAAAATGATTGCTGATGGTCCACCTCCAGGAAATGCTGTTTTCAATTTTGTTATTACGGCCTACTGCAAAGTTGGGGAAATGGGACAAGCTTTGGAGATGGTAAAACTACTGGAAAGTAGAGGTTTGAAACCAGATGTGTACACTTATACTGTTCTTGCTAGTGGTTATTCAAATGGTGGTGAGATGGAAGAGGCTAGGAAGATCTTGGGGGAAGCTAAAAAGAAGCATGTTAAGTTAAGTCCTGTAATGTATCACACTCTAATTCGTGGATACTGCAAATTAGAACAGTTTGATAAGGCTTTGGAATTGTTGATTGAAATGAAGGATTTTGGTGTCTGTCCTAGTGTTGATGAATACGAGAAGTTGATCCAGTCTCTCTGCTTGAAGGCTTTGGATTGGGAAAAGGCAGAAAAGCTGCAAGAGGAAATGAAAGAGAATGGTTTACATCTCAAGGGTATTACCAGGGCCCTGATTAGAGCTGTCAAGGAGGTGGAAAATGAAGTTGTGGAGGCTGAAAGCATTAGTTCAGTGGCCTAAATTTTGTTGGCTCTTTGAGGTGGTGTGACATTAATGTGAGAGGCCTGCTATTTGTAAGTCTTTTCTGATTAGCACACCATTTTAATTGTAGGTTACTATCTTAATGCACAAATAATCGAGAGGAGAAAATTTCAGAACTGATTGTTCGTTTGTTTAATGTTTTTGACCAGCCTTTTTTTGATGATATTGAGTTAAGTTGGCTATGTTTCAGATTCTTCCTTTTCCATAATGATGTCATTAACATTTAGTGTCTTAATTTCTGATAATATGGTGATTTCTTTTTTCTTTCTCATGGAGGTTGGGTTGGGTTGGATAAGAATTAGTATCTGTGCCTTCAGACCGCCACACACAGACACACCAAGAAGAAGAAATAGAGGTGCTGTTTACAAATTGAATTTTAGTGTCTTTTACAAATTATATTTGCTGTTTTTGGTAGGATTCTCTTTCAATGTGTAGGTGCCATCTGGATCAATTTTTTATTCTTAATTTTGTAGTCTTTGATTGCTAATAAGGAACATGATTATAATAGTACTTAGTTACTTAATGTTTCATTGACAACTTTTAGTTGTTGCCTTATATATGATGTAGCAATCCATGTTGTATAACTATAGTGTTACTTCTCTACCATGAACTGGCACCTTTCCTAAGTTGTTTGCTTTATTGCTTTGATTTTAATTCGTCTATATACTTCTTGTGACTTGAAGCTGAAGGAGAAAGGGAGTAGGAACACAGATTTGGGCTTTTACTCCTTCCATTAACAACTTCCTGCTTTATGGAGTATAACTAAAATAATGAAATGATAAAAGAAGAACAAAGAGAAAACTCAAATTGCATTGAAGCTGTCCAGTTTGTTTGCATATAGGAGATAGCAAATCCTCTCAATTTTGATGTCTTTGGATGTTTAGTCAAATAAAGACATGGAATTCTGTGTTGTTTGTTGAACTGGGTCATGCTCTGGATTTAAATCTTTCTCATTCTGAATTTTCGCATGCTTGTCACACATGCTGGCAGTTCTTACTTTTTGTACCATAATTTGAGCTATAATGCTTGGAATTTCAGTGCATCTCAAAGCTAAAATCCAAGGCTTTTATCATGGAAATGTTCAGATTTCTGTTCTTGCTCAATCAATGCCAGTTTGTTTTGAACGATAGGACCATTTCTGCATAATTTTGCTGTATGACAGCGCACATTATTTTGACTATATCTTGAACTAAACTAGTTGGATTTGAGAACCATCTTTTTTGCTAGAAGCCTAAGATGCAAGACTAATAAATGTGTAGGTTTTATTTTTTTTATCAGTTTCCATTTGAATTTGATAACAGATTTTATTTGAATTCATGAAAGATTTCTGATAGTTTCATTTTTGAAGCAAACTCCATTAGGCCCTACTTGTTGAGTTTACTCTAAATCACATTGAATTCAGTTCATCTTAAATTAATTTTAAGCATTAAATTTATATGAGAACCTAGAAATTGTACTCGATACTATAGGGGAAGTTTTACATAGAGGAACTAGTATATCTTTCCTTGGCAAGGTGGTTTTCTGTATATAAGAACAAGACATGATGTGAAGACTTGTAGGGAGACTTTAAATGTGTTTATGGTTCTAGTTTGGAATAGAAATTGCTCGTCTTTTCTTATATTCATACTGAATCTGTTATGATAGATCCTCATCTGAGGAATATATTTAAAACACTTGGTACTGTGTTTTCTTCACATTAAAATTTAAAACTGAATGATTTCATTCTATTTTATTTTTAATTTTCTATAGGTATGAATATGTTCTTTGGCCTAGAGAAAGAAATTCTGTTTTCACTCGAGCTACGAATATGATTTGTGTTTTTACTTTGTTAATTTGTGAAATGAGAGTATTTGAAAGATCGAATTTAAAGCACTTAATCTAGTACTGCAATGCTAGGCAATGAATAAACTGTTTTGAACTAAAAAGGGGATTGTCCTGTGAGGCTGTGAGAAATATGCATTGTTTTGAGCCCAAATAGATACTTCCATGATGGGTAATATGTACGTTTTGATACTCAATAAGATGCAGTTGTATGTGATTATTTAATCTTGTTTTGAAGCTAATTCATGTTGAACCATAATTATGTTTTGGCTTACGAACAAGTGTGTGAACTATCTAAACAAGTAAACATGATTTTTTTAAGGCCAACATATGTAAGTAGGTCCCAAGTTGGCTTCTTAATGTGAATTTGTATGTATGTTTACAAATTTCAAGTCAAATAACCTCATTATTTGGGGTAATCATGTGTTTGATTTGAGTTGGATTGGGTAGCCCAGTTGGTTTTGATTCAACTTGAATTGATTCGACCTAAATTGGTTTGGCTAAACGACCATACTGATGCTTTTTCAAAAAATAATTATAAAATTAATGTATTTTTAAAATTATTTTCCTAAGTTCCGCACATACATGCGGGACAGAGTAATGCACATTAGAGGTACAAGAATCAGTTACTTGCGCCATGTGGTATGTCCAAACATGTCTTGCACAAAAGGGGAACTTAAGAGAGAGAAATTGGATACACTGACAGGAAATATTTTAGGGTTTTATAAAAGTTATGTTGTAGGAAAAATGATTGTGTTATGTTATAGAGATTCGTTTTGCGTGTCGTAGTTTTTTTTCTTTCTTCAAAACATGCCGGTCCTACAAAATATTGTGTGTGTAGAAAAATTTTTGTGGTCATGTTAAATGATGAATGCAAACCCCAATATTTTATTTGGAGAAAGGTTTTTTTTCCCTTTTTTGTTTGTCTTTATTTCCTTGCTTTTCTATTGTACTGGCAAAAAAATATTTTTGTCAACAATAAAACTTGTGTTCCATTGAGCTCCACATAAGTCATTATTTATTTATTTGTTTTTACTCATATAAGTGCCATTTTGAAGTAAGATTTTTCTATAATATAAAAAAGGAAAAAATATTTATTTTTTTAAATGACACAATTTATATCCTTTCACTCTCACAAAGAGGTGGAATTTACACATTCATTTTTTTTTGTCAAATCTCTCTCCTCCTGTTTTTATCTCTTTCTTAAAATGACACAACTTTACATCTTTTAAAATGACATATATTTTTTCCTATAAAAAAAATAGTGTTGTCACCGAAGTCCTTGCAAGAAGTGCAAAACTCCCAATATTGGATAATAAATACCGATGCATGTGCACTCATTTGCTGCTTCTTTTGCCAAATATCCTTTTTTTTTTTTAAAAAAATTTAATAATTATATATTCTCCTTACAAAATTTTAATAATACTTTAATAAATACTGAATATATTTTATTTTTTAATATTAATTTTTTTAAAACATTATTAACGAACTACCTTTAAACTTTAAAAACTGAATAATGAATTAAAATTGAAGAAATTAAAAGCATATTTAACATTTAAAAAAATTCTTTGAAATAATTTTCAATAAATAAATGCACACCCGTGGTGATATTAATATAGTATTTCTCAATATTAGATGATTTTTTTTTAAAAAAGGAAGTTCATAAAATGAAACTAAACACATGAAAAGAAATATTTTAGGAAACTCATTTTTCAAACACAAATTTTAATACGACAAATATAAAAATAAATTTGACAGATGTGTAAAAAAAGAAAAAAAAGTAATGACTTTAAGTGGAGCTCAATGAAACATAGGTTTTATCGTGGGGTTTATAAGTAAGTTTTATAAGAGTTATATTGTAGGAAAAGTGATTGTGTATTGTTATAGAGATTTATTTTGCGTGTCGTAGTTTTTTTTTTCTCTTCAAAAAGTGTGGACCCTATAAAATGTTGTGTGTAGAAAAATTTATTATGTCATGTTAAATGACAAATGCAAATGTCATATAATTATTATGTTGAAAAAAAGTAGTGTCAAAAAGTATTTTGCTGGTACAATAGTGAGAATAAGGAGATAAAGAAAAAAAGAAAAAAAAAAGGGAATATAACTTTTTGGCTGACGGACTATATTGCCCTCGTTGTAAAATTAAATTATCATTTTGTCCTTATTTTTAAAGTAGAGTAAAGCTTCTTTTGGGTCTCAAATAGGGTGTAAATGGATCAGACTGACCTGACTTGACCTACAGCCTGGCCTAGCCTAGTCTTTCTGAAAAGTAGAGTAGATTTAGGCTTACAAAAAAATATTTTTAACAATAGGCCATAGGCAAGTTTTGTCCAGCCTGACTTAAAGCCTTGTAGGCTGACCTATTTAATTTTTTAAAACAAAATAAAATATTTATTCTAGGTGGCAAAGTATCAACCCTAATTTCTTTTGTGCACCGCCGCTTCTAAGTGACTTCTCACTCTCGTCTTTAAGTTTCGTCTTTGGTTGACCAAGTAATTGTATTTCTTTTTTATTTTTCCCATTTCTTTGACTCTAATTCCCCTTTGATATACATTATAGAGATGAGATATTATGTTGACTCTTTCTTGTTTGTCATTTTCTATTTCTTATGAGAAGTATTAGTGCATGCACGAATGAAACTTTTTTTGCTCTATACAAATATTTTTTTTGCTCAGTATCTGCATTGGGAGGCCTACAAGGCCTGTAGGCCATATCAGGCTTTCTAATTTTTAAAATAGGTCAGACCTGACCTATAAACAAAGCTTTTAATAGTAGGCCAATAGGCTAGATAGACTGAATATTTTTTTACAAAAATCAAAGCTCAGCCTAGCCTGGCCCATTTACACCCCTAGTCTCAAACAATAAAAAATGATCCACTTTAAACTTTTATTAAAAAAAATTAGTCCCAAAATTCTTAAAAAAGACAAAGTGGACTCCGATTAGTTCTTCCGTGAGTGAATCATCCACAACGTTAGTAACATCTGAGATGTCATATTAACGAATAAATTTTTGGTACTACTGCTGTATCAAAGATTCAGTGCATCCCACCAACAAAAATATTACATGTAAGCTTATTTTATTTTTTTTCTGTCAAATTTTTTTTCTCTCCTATGATGTGTATTGCTCTCATTGATGAGATGCACTGAATCTTGATACAGCAGTCGTACTAAAGATTTATTCCATGTTAACTGAGTGAGTCACATCTCACGTAAGACAAAAAATGATGTTGTGGGTCCCTTTTAAGTCCTCAACCAAAAAAACACGATACACATTCTGACTTTTTTTTTCCCTTCTCTACAGTTCAACCTTTTGACATTACCCTTTCCGTTCAGTTTTTAGCGCCACTGTGACTGCAAACTCGTCATCAATACCTTCTACTTGTCTTGAAGATTCTCTTCGGCATTAAAATACAACTAACATGTTTAAATGTTTAAATTGAAGACAACAACACCAAGAAATAGGTTTGGGAAGCTCGAAATTTGAAAACATTTCAAATATATATATCCAATGCCACCTTCACTTGTATATAAGATTCCAAAATATCCTTGATTACACAATAATGATGGTGCTAACAAAAAGGTCTCATTCAAACAATCTCTCGCTGTTAAATGGACTGCAAAAGCGTCTCTTGTGGGTCATCGTTATTCTACACACTCACACAGACCCTATACTACTTACTTCATCTCCCTTCCCATACACTAAAATAAACTACCATAGAATCTCTTCGCCTCACATGCAAAAGCGAAAGGTACGAGAATTCTGCAAAAGCGAAAGGTACGAGAATTCTGCAAGGCAGCTCCCTAGTTTTTAATTGAATTGTGGCACTGTTAGTTAGTAGGACAAATAAAATTCTGATACTACTCTACCTAAGTTACACAATAAGATTTCGTGATTTGAAGGCAAAGATGGCTAATTTATTATTTATCTAATTAAAATCGTCAACATGTCTAAACATGGCTCAAATGGAATAATTCAAACTTTATATTAAAACTTATTTAATCTCAAAGAAGATTTAGTGTAAGCTCAATAACATTATGTGAAATGCTCAAAATAAAATGACAACCATGTTGGAGGTAATGAGTTTGAGAGAGAAGGGTTTAGATGTGCTTGAAGTATTACACCAAAAGACACCAAGTTTGGAATGCTCAACAATGTTACCTCCAGTTTAGAAAATTCTAGAGATAATGCAAGCTATTGGGCTCCAACCTATATGGACCCAAATAACCATGCTTTCATCTATTGGGCTTATATGTGAACATACTATTGTTGATTATATTATTAATATATCCAACAATATTCTCCTATGTTCACCATATAGCACAATCTAATAGAGTGATCAATGTAATGTTTAAACAAATGTGAATCATTTATATCCAGTCCAAAACAATTAACTCGGATCAATCAAAGAGTTTTTAACATTAAAATGTTAAACTAAATCGTCATTTTCAATCTAAATAAATAAATCATCATTATCATGAATCTGTTCTGAGACCAACATACTAAAATAAATATTTAGAGTTTTAGATTCAATCTAAACTCATCCAATTCCCAACATCCAAAATAAGTCTCAAAATCAGTTCACAATCAACAATGTTCATAAAATAAAGATAACAAAATGTAAGTCTCAAATAAATGGACTCTATCAAAATGGGCAATAGCGGGTGAACTGTCAAGTCCCCACATACTCTAAATGATATATTCATTCATCAAGGAGGTGATCTTAGTCAAGATCCCTCTCATTAAGCTCTCCTCCATCTCTGCCATCCTTTGTAAAATATCAAATATGAATTTCAAATTATTATGAATTCAATCGGTTGAATAATCTATCAAAGATGTCTAGTTCTACTAAAAGAACTTAGCATCATATCATCAGGCAAAAAAGAACATATATTGATGTCAAAAAGCATTGCAATATCATGTTCATAAGCATCAAGCCAATTTCATAAATTATGAACACGGCCTAAACAATTTATTTTGCAAAGAGTCATCAACTTAAGTTTATTTGTAAGAGAATAACCATTGTCTAGTTTCAATGAACAGGACCAATAGTTAAGTCACTTACAATAACCTAGTCATGTGATGTGAAGTTTCAATTAAGAACAAGACCCACATGCTTCTTATGCAAACTACTATTTCAATGTTTCAATTTGGAATGTCACAATTACTGATTCCTCAAAGTCAAATAATCTAGCATCAAGTTTAGAATGAGATCATTTAACCAAAAGGATGGCCCAACCTGGTTGGATTGTATCATCAAGTTTGGAATAACACAAGTTTCCCAGGTAGAATCTTTGAATCAGGTTCAAGTTATCTTCATCAAGTTTGGAATGAGAGAACTTACCCTTTTCAAATTAATCAGCAACCATGAACATCGATGAAACATATAAATAGTGCTTATCATTTTGGCCAACAAGAAAGATTCGATAATTCAAAACACACAATTAAAAGGTAAGTAAATGGTAATTAAGACTTGTTTATATAGTCTTTAACCCCATTTTCCCCACTGCTTTGAATAATCGATCTTTAGGCATATCTTTTGTGAGAGCATCAACCAAGTTATCCTTCGTTCTCACATCGATCAAAGTGATAACTCCTTGTTTTCTCATATAATTCAACAACGCATGTCTCAATCTTATATGTCTTCTCTTTGAATTGAAGAGAGCATTTTTAACAACTTGGACAACTACTTGATTATCACAAAATAGGCTTAAAGAATTAATCTTTAGCCGAGTCAAAGAAATATCCATAATCAGATTCTTTATCCACTTTGCCTCTTTGCCGGCTAAGGCTAAAGCAAAAAGTTTTGATTCCATAGACGACAATGCACTACAAGTCTATCTTTTGGATTTTTAAGCAATAATAGCTCCACCCAAAGTGAATACATATCCACTGGTGAACTTACTATTGCTGATTTTTGAACACCATGACGTATCAGAATATCTATCCACAATTAAAGAATAACCAGAGTAGTGTAGAGCATAATCTTTAGTACCTTTAACATTCTATTCAATGTTGTGTGTGATAAAGAATACATATAACATTAAGTCACAATTATATGCTTGTAATAATATTTTTCATTATATTTATTGCATATTTTAAATATAGTTGTTCAAACGGTTCAACTAATTACTTGTTGAACCAATGATTTAGTGTTCTCGAATCGATGTTCAAAATTTAATGACATTTTGTTACAAGTCTTTTGTTTGGTTGTTAATAGTTTTCAAACAACCTAATATTTAAGGGTGAGCCTTGTGTATGCATAGCTAGGATGCAGGAATTTCCTGATACTTGCTGGTGTCTGTTCATTGTTTCACTTCCCTTGTCTAATTCCTAATTTTTAAAAATTAAGGAAGCTTGGACTTGGTTCTTAACCTGCTTTTGAATACAACAAGGCTTGTGTTTAATATTTGATCGCACTCTGGCATCATAGTCTTAATGGGGATTCTACAACTTGAATAGCAACCACCACATGCATATCATGTCTTCTGCATCCAATATATTGATAACAATTTAATAACAGAGTCCAAAGTATGACACTAAAGAAATATTTGATTAACACAATTATTTAAGATTCTTTATATCTATTTATAGTTATTATATGTAAACTCAGATGCTAAAAAACACAATAATTTGTTATGTCAGGGCATGAACCAAGTAAACACAAATTTGAGGCTATGTTAGACACGTTGATTGCTAAGCAACAAACCGTATATTCTATCCTTGTGTAATGATCTTGTGAAATTTAAAATTGAGACTTATCATAATTTAAGCGGTTTAATAAGTCAATTTTTAAATCAATAACCCCATACTATGATTGAGTTAATGATCATGCCAGGTTTTTATAACATTACTTCTTACCATTCTATTCATAAACCAACAAATTTTGACATTTTCCCTTCCCATTGCCATTAAAAATGTAAGTCATCATTATGAGAATAATAATAATTTTTTTTTGAAAATTGCTCTAAGGATATCCCTCAGCCGAAAGCCAAGGACTAATTCTCTTGAAGCGGAGAAATCACGCGATCATAGATACTACCTTTACCAACAAAGTATTTTCTATACATATGGTCAAGAATCGAATCCCTATCAACATACTTAAAGGAGCTAGCTATTTATAAACTGTGCCGGACTTTTTGGTTGAGAATAATAATATTGGTACGTTGTTATATTACTTTATTTGATGTTATTAACCTGTACTACATTATTTCAAATGATATGAAGTCATTTATTATGTTATTATTATCTGTTATTTCGTTTCACTCATTTTGAAGTTAACTACAAGCTAAAAGCATAATATAGATAAAACTCATTTATTGGATGTTAATTTTTTCTTGTGACCAAACTATGAACAATATTATCACGTTGACTCAGGCAATAAATAATGATTTTTTCAACGAAGGCAGAAAAAAATGAGAAGAGAACCATATTTGGACTAAAATATGAGGACGAGCAACACGAAAACCCCAAAGTTGCACGTGTTTACTTCTTAAAAGACCATTATCTACTTGCAAGTGCCAGATGTTGACCTTATGCATGTAGATAACATTGGCCAGAGAAAAAACCATACCATAATGCTTTTAAACTTAGGGTTTTATAAGAGTTATGTTGTAAAAAAAATAATTGTATAATGTTATAAAAATTCGTTTTGTCTGCCATAAATTTTTTTTTTTTTCAAAAGTATAAATCCCACAAAATGTTGTGTATAAAAAAATTTGTTATGTCATGTTAAATGACAAATATAAACCCCTTAAACTTATGTAAAAACTAAGCCAGATTTTTAAAAAAAAAATTAACTTCTCTTCCCCTTATAAATAAAACTCTTAGAATAAAAAAAATTATAATAAAAAAAAAACAAAAGTCAAGCTCCTAAATAATTTTTTTAATTGTATTAACTTTTTTTAAATGTGTGTTTTTTTAAATAAACAACTTTTAAATAGCTTTAAAGCTAAACATTTTATATAATCATCAAATTAACTTATAATTTTATTTTCGAAGCTCTCTTTTTTTAATTTTAGCTTGAAAATAACTTTTAACTTAAAAAAATAAATATCAAGCAAGTTCTAAAAAGAGCTTTTTTATATAATGAAAAAAGAGAGCCAAAAGCTCCTAAAAAAAGCTTTTTTAAGTTATATCAGTTTTTTTTTTTTTAAATGTATACTTTTTTTTTTAAATGAACAGCTTTTAAGTAACTTTTTAACTAAAAAATTTATATAATCATCAAACAACTTGTAACTTTATTTTTAAAACTCTTATTTTTAACTTTAGCTTAAAAGTAATTTTTACCTTAAAAAAAAGGATCCAAACAGAGTCTTAGTACACACTAACATGTCATCTGTTTATTTCTTCATCAGAGCTAGAAGTTTTTAACAAGTCATTTTGAGCATGCATTAGAACACAACCAGCACTAAAAATATACATTAACAGAGACACACAATTCCGATTACGTTAAAGATGACACAAAACCCATGTTTAGGTGTTTCACAAACGTTTGGGAGGGACATATTGCACACGCTCGTCTTCACATATAGCCTGCAAATGGACATAACAAATCAAATAAATAAACAAAAAAAATTTACCATACAACATTAATTCAGCGCAAAATATGATGACAAAAAAGAAGGCAAAAACAACCACACGAGTCTCATGGGTATTGGGCTGCTTGAACGAACCTGTGTATCTTTTGACATCGTTTGTCTAATACAAGCAGTGCTAAGACTAACAAATTGACACTTCATTACGGAACCAACAATTCATTCCACAAATAACCTCATTGTAGTTGCCAAAAATTATAACCACTTAAGCATTTATTCAAAGTACCAAGGCAACTGTATTGTACATAACCCAATCTGTGAATTCAGGGTTTCCCATGCAGTAATTTCGGTTTCAAGATTAAAATTTTCAACAACACCTAAACAAATTAAACCGCCATGGATTTTACGTCTAACCAGGTAAAAGGGAAGTCGTAGGAGGACGTCCATAAAAAACCAGGAGTTAAACTATGATTTTAAGAGGAAAATCGAGCAAGATATGATTGAAGATACAATAAAAGTGGAGACATTAAATTTCTCAATGAGAAAAGGGGAATAACAACAAAAGTAGACCTCAAAGTTGATGGGGACCACTGTGCTTGCATTCGACCCATCACCTTCATAATGATTTCCCTCACCATTGTTGCCCCCGCTAGCACTATGGTGGCGGTTTCGATGCATCCACCCTTGTAGGAGTATCTTCATATTCCTACGGGGAATACACTCTCCAAATGACGGGCCTATTCCAATGCGTAACAAGGAGTTTCATGACTCTCTAGATGGGCACTAAGGTTTCTTTAGGACCATTAAGAGGATTGAAGGGGTGGTGTACTTAGCAGGCATGACAAAAAGATATTTAGCATATGATGCTGCCTGCCACATTTGTCAACAGAATAAGGTTCAAAGTTTATCTCTTCGGGGATTATTACAGCTCTTACCAATTCCATCAAAGGTATGAGAAGACATATACATGGATTTTGTAGGGGGTCTTCCCAAGGCTTTTGGGATGGGCGCCATATTGGTTACCATTGATAGACTCACAAAGTATGCAAACTTCTTATCCCACCCATATTCTGCCAAAGAGGTTGCGGAAGTTTTTGTGAAGGAGGTTTTCAAATTACATGGGTTCCCTCAATCCACAGTAACTGGGTATTCATGAGCACATTCCAGGCAGAATTATTCAAGTGTTCTCGGACCCATCCAAAATATAGCACAACTTATCACCCACAGTCCAATGGGCAAATAAAAGTAGTGAATAGATGCCTTGAATCCTATTTGAGATGTTTCCGTAGTCCCAAGCCTAAGCATTGACCCAAATGGTTAAATTGGGTAGAATTTTGATATAATATAATAATACCTCCTACAAGGACTTAACCGGTATGACTCCATTTAGGGCACTCTGTGGGTGTGATCGTCCTTCACTAATTAGAGCAGAACAGTCCCGCTCCTAGTAGATGAAGTCAGCAGATGGATGCTGGAGAGGGATGCCATCATTAATGACTCAAAAAGAATTTACTTCAGGCACAAGATCGTATGAAGGCACAGGCTATCAAGCATAGAAGGGATGTCAATTTTGAGGTAGGTGACTTGGTGTACTTGAGGTTATAGCCTTATAGGCTTAAATCCTTAGCAAGATGCTTCAATGAGGAACTTAGTCCCCACTACTATGGTCCCTATAAAATAATTGAGAAGATTGACAGTGCTGCTTATAGATTGGATCTTCCAGCATCAAGCAAAATTCAACCCCGTATCTCATACAACTCTTTTAAAAAGGCTATTGTGGTACCAACTTTAACAAAACCATTGCCACCAATGTTGACAGATGAATGGAAGTTACACGCAGAATTAAAGGAGTTAATACAATGGCGACAACTTTCCCTAGGTCCATTGGAGGTTTTGATAAAATGGAAGCATCTTTCTTCCTTTGAAAATATGTGGGAGGAAGTTTACAACCATTAACAAGCAATTCCCTACCTTTAACCTTGAGGATAAGGTGCTCAAAATGAGGGGAAATGTTGATACATGGTGCTCCTTACAAAGTGTATTCAAGCAAGAAATACAAGAGATTGGAGGCTTATGCTGACTGAGACAGCAAGGAAGTTGTTAGCAAGGAATATTCCAGAATTGATTAAACAGAATTGAGTTAGTAAATTGGTGGGAGAAATGAGGGATAAGTAGGTAAAGTGTGAAGTATGAAGGTATCTGGGACTTTGGACTTGGGTTGGGATTGGGAGAGACTAGAGCCTGTCTAAGTGCTCTAGATTTACTTGTAGTCTTATGTCACTTTCTGTTGTTCTCAGTTTCCTTTACAGTCTCTTGTAATTTATTTTCTAAGTGTTGTATGAAGACAAGCTTCCATATCAATACAAATTTCCTTTGTTTAATCCAGGAATTCCTTGTTTTGGTTTGATACTGATGAGACCTTGGGATGCACCACCCCAAAAGCTAGCTCAAAGAGTGGGAGTGCCCAAGGCCTTATGAACCCCACACTAGTTGCCCATACAACCATGTGAGACTCCAAGTCCCATACCTTGCAAATGGAACCCAACATTCCACCACGCTTCCCTAGTGCGTGCCGCTACGCACACTCCACATGATGGATGCTCTGATACCATTTGATGAGACCTTGGGATGCACTACCCCAAAAGCTAGCTAAAAGGATGGGAGTGCCCAAGGCCTTATAAACCCCACATTAGTTGACCATACAACTAATGTGGGACTCCAAGTCCCATACCTTGCAAATGGAACCTAACACATGCCTATCACAGCACCAACCTTCTTGGGCTCAAAACCAGATGAAGGTTCAAGCAGATCAACATAGGAGGGAAGTGATATTTGAGCCAGGGGATTCGATCTATTTGAAACCACAACCCTATAGACTGAAACCTTTAGTTAAAAGGATAAATGAGAAACTTAGCCTCAAGTTCTATAGGCCTTATAATGTCTTAGAAAAGAGAGGGGAAGCTTAGCTTGAGTTACCAGAGAGCAGGCAAGATTCATCCTGTTTTTCATGTAGCCCTATTGAAGAAGGCTACATTTGCTACAGTTGAACCTCAGCCCTTAAGATGAATGGGAGCTCCTAATCCAACCAGAAGATGTCCTCAATTACCGAACTAGTAATGTAGGCCATCTTGAAGTGTTAATTAAATGAAAAAATCTCCCAGACTTTGAGGACACATGGGAGCTCTTTTTTGCCATCCATGAGCAATTCCCCACTTTTCATCTTGAGAACAAGGTGAAGGCTTTGGAGGAGAGTATTGGTAGGAACCCACCCATCATTAGGGTGTACGCTAGGAGGGCCACAGAGAATTAGGCTCTTCACAAACCAGGGGCATGTGAACTCACACTTGGTAGGAAAAGCTGTTGCTAACAACTTTGGAGCAAGGAAGCACGGACACTTGTAAAAACAGGGAAAGTCGTGTTCGACACGCTCCGACACGGCGACACGCTCCGACACGGAAGAGGCGAAACATAATCAACTTGAATTCGGGACAGCTATTCGAAATCTTAGCGAAAGACTGGATTTATTATCTCATGTTTGCTTTTCGTGAAAAAATACCAATTGAAGTGGAGGGTTTCGTCAAACAACAAGAGTCGGACACGCGGTCAACTTTTTCCGACACGTTGATCATTCCGACACGCGAATTTGACCGTGTCCGACACGGTCAAATGGCATTTTCGTAATTTTTTTTTTAAAAAATTAAAATATATTAATAAAGCTTCCACCTGATCATATCAATTTTATTTTTTTGTCTTTTTTCCCCTTAAGTAGATAAGAGATCACCTCAACATTATTGTTGTCAATTCCTATCACGCTCTTGTTGTATCTCCTTGTCTCTGATCTCTCTCTCTAATATGATTTGATCTCTCTCTCTAATATGATTTGATCTCTCTATATGATATTATATCTCTCTCATCCCAGTTCTTATTTTTTTTATTAAAGCTTCCATCTTTATAACGTGTTGATGGGTATTATTAATTTAGTTTCATTTTTTTGTTAAATTATTAAATATTAAATGAAATATACACTATATAAATTAAAAATATTATTTAATATTAAAACGTGTCCCAACGTGTCGAAATCCATAACATTTTAGGATTGACGTGTCGGAGTGTCGTGTTGTATTGTGTCACGTGTCGCGTGTCGTATCGGTGCTACATAGCTTTGGAGACAGAAGAAGGATAAGAGTGGATAAAAAGGAATGTGAGGTGTAGCTCGATTGTTGGGTAGTCTTGGGAGAGATCAGAGCTGGGTTATCCGATTCTTTCATTTTTGCTTATAATCACCCTAACACTGATATCCAATTCTAATACAGTTCATATGATTTTATTCTTAATTCTTGTTTGATTCTACTTTGATTCCTATCCCAAATCAATAATCATTACAATAATAATTAATTCTTGGATGCATTGACCAAATAATTATTTGTCAAATCCTGTACTAGAAAAGAGATAACTATGCATTAACAAAAACAAAATCACTCTTTAATAACAAAAGTGATATATTCTGAAATCTATATCACACTAATAGAAAAATACAAACCTGCATCTCTTCTGGAAGAGCCTCAGAGACAGCAAGAGTGTAAACACCGGGAACAAATTTTCCTGCAACATATTCGAGAACATAAATGCCCAAACCTCAACTGCAATACAGGATTTTAATCTAGAAAGAAATTCAACCTACAAAAAATTATCTTTTTCTTTTTCTCTTTTCAAATAGTTGTCACTTCTCTTGGCATGTAATTTGGCTAATTCCTTGCAGTGAAATATACTAAAATGATCAAAAAAGTGCATGAACTAAACTCTATGCAACTTTTTTTTTCTGATTTTCCGTAACAGAGAAAAATTTATTCAAGAAAGAAAGAAGAATATATAAAAAAGTTGCACTACGATATGCTCCAGAACAGAAGGAAAAACAGGATAGCAAAATAGAAATCCAGAAAAGCAAAATACAACCTCTGATTCCTTTTCTTTCAATTCCTTGTTAGCAAGAGCCAAAATGCTTTTACTTGTTATCTTGATCCAGTGCATCATATATAAATATGCAACAAGGTAGTGGCAAGCAAACAACAATGTGGAGGACAACATTCATATTGATTTCCAGCATTATATTTCATTTTATTCAAATTTACTAACCAACTTCATGAGTTTCCAAATTATCTTTCCAGGTCTTGGTGGACTGCTACAAGTAAGAAATACCATCTACATGGAAGATTAGAAATTTAAATTTTTCGAAGAGATACGCAAGGGCAGTTAAAATGTCCACTTGTTCTTATCTTTTACACAGCTTTTTGTCAATGTCAAAAAGAAATTTGAAATTAATATTAAGAGCTTTTAAGAGATTCTTTTGAGGAAGTGTTACTTAAATCCTTAAAATCTTAAATCATGTCTTTGAGTTTTAATTATTATAAATCCTACCATTGCAAGTCGGGGTTTCATGGGGAATGATTTTTAAAAGTTTAATTATAGAAACTAGATGGCTCTTTGCAGTTGAAAGGGAACAAAGTGAAGAAGAAAGAGAACCTTAAAAAAATACCATAATGATATTTCACATTCCAAAGTAATACAGTCATCAGAATATTGTAAAGGAAACAAAAACAACAGCCAAGGCAAGGGAAAATTATAATGAGATTGTAAAAGGAGATAAATGAACAAACCAATGCGCAACCAACGAGCAGCCCAACTCCGAGTTGGATCCATAACTGAAATGACCCTGTGGCAAAATCAAATGGAAGAAGAAAACAAAATGAGCATGGACAAATACAAAGGTGAAGAGGGTTTTGATGAAAAAGAATTGACATAGACAAACCCATTAAAATTGGGGGTAGTGCAATCAACAACACGCTCATGATCTTCTTCCATCTTAAAGAATTGGCAGTTCTCACAACCTGACTCTCTGAACTGTGTAAGGAAAACAGAAATTATAAGAAAAAAAATAATAAGAAACGGCAAAGAATGTTGAGAAACAAACATAAACCGGCAATAAGACCTGATCATAGGTTTTGACAAGGCGGCAACGAAGACAAGCCCTCAACTCATGGCCAAAGCTGGTAGGAATTTGTGCAGGCACACTTGCCATTTTTGTCAGCTCACACTGTTTGAACTGATGGTTAGAACTTAGAAGCAGTTGGAGATGCAGTCTCTAAATGCCAAACTAACTATTTAATACTCTAACCTATTTGGTTGTAACAGAATCACAATGTGTTGCCAACGCTTAGCACACTCACAGTGTGAATAAACTAAACTACCATTACATAATATAACAATCACACACCACATCCATTATCAGGAAATGATAATAAATCTTTACAGCCGATACTAAGCCATATCATTATTTCAATCCAATAACAACACAAATGAAGTGACCTAATACAGAATGCAACAAGTCCAATGACCATTGCAAACAAAAAATCAAATCTCATACATTACCTCTTTTGCATACAACACTGAAAAAAAGAAGAAAAAGAAAAGGAAAAAAGAAAAAGAAAAGTAATTTAGCCTACAATTTGCATCATAGAAAAGTAGGTGAACCTTATTGAAGTAGGTGCAAGTTGGAAAGATATATTCTAGTTTAGTTCCAAATCAAATTTTTATAACAGATTACCATTATTTATATTGTAATTGAGAAAGCTATTTTTATAACAAAACCTTTTTGAAGAATCAGAGTTCAAATGTTTTTGTTATCTTGTACATAGTTAAAATTGTTTCCAATGAGTCTTTGTTATTTTGACTTGATTTACTAGATTTTCTTTTTCCTTTTCTTTTTCTTAGGACATCAGTTTCATTCGATTCTAATCTATATACACTTCTAGACACTGACTCGTAAAAGTTCATTGATATTCCATATTTCATTTAGGTTTCATTCTTTTTCTCTTATTATTTCTAGTTATTCTGTTCCTTAGAAGAAAAAATAATCAACTGCGTTCTTCCATACTGGTTTGTTAACATTAACAGACAAAGGCATACAATAAAAAGCGATGTAGGCTTGTAGCTTAAAACTGCCACATAAAATAATTGATCCGGATTGAGAACAGGTCTGGTTCCGCGGTTTAACCAGAGTACATGGGAAATGGCAGCACATTTGCTCACTTAAGAATCCAAAATTTGCTGGGAACCCATTAGTAACTCCAGTTTAAAAGAGAGGGTGAGAAAATGAAAGGAAGAGCAAGAAAATGAAAGAAAGGGAAAGAAAACTGTATTCTGTATTTTCTCTGAAAGTGAATGTTACCAGTTGCAACTCTGCTTCTCTATATAATGATGTGAAATTGTATATAGAAAATGTCAAAGCTTGCTCTAAAAGCTGAACCTAACTGACTTAGTTGGATACTCTAACTGCACTAACTGAATGCCACATAAGCACAACTGAATTACAGGATGCAACAAGCTATTCTGAGGTTGCATTACAGAAACACTGCCCCTCTTAACAAGACTAAATAGTATTATAGTGACCCAGTATATTACTCTAATACAGTTGAACCACCTACCAGTTAAGTTTTCACTTTTTCAGAGTATCTAATTAAAGCAAAAATATAAATTTCAAAACTTATGTTGAAAAGTTTTGAAAAAATAAATAAATTAAATTTAAGGGTTAGCTTCATGGAAAATAACATAGTAGCATAAATTTAAAACCCAAAATTCATTTTTTCCCAAAAATGAATCTTTAGACAACATAACTTATAAGGGAAACCAAACTCTAATAGACATCATACGATCATGAAATGGGCAGCATAAAATTAGCAGAACATTATGATTACATGTAAAGCAAATTACCCATTGACATTTTCCTCTCATTTCTTCATTTAGTTCGATGAAAAACACATCATGTTTTGAAACAAAGAAGAAACACTGAAGAAAGAAAGTGAGATAGATAAGATACCAGTGCTCGATGATGATGGGGTAGAATTCTTGCTCTTCTTCTTTGGCAATCCAGCAGCAGCAAACCCAGACCCAGATGCAAGGAGCTTCGGATTAAAGTTGGTGTGTTAAGAAGAAAATTGGAAAATGAAAAATTTGGGATGAGTGACTGACGAAAATTGAAAAATACGGAATTAGGGTTTGTGTGTTAAAAGAAGAAATTGGCAAAGTGAGATCAAAGTTAATAAACTTCAGATCATTTTATCATGTTAAAATTTTATATTTAAAAGAAAAAAATTGAAAAAGTGAATTTTCATTAAAAACTCTTATTATCAAATTTTAACAGTTATTTTTCTGTTAATTTAATAGTTATAATTTATTAGGTTACATTTATAATTATGTTAAATATTTTCTTATAAATTATAAACGTTAAATTAATAAAAATTAACGGTTAAAGTTTAGTAATAAGAAAAAAAAGTTACTACATATAATCTCTCCTACCAAAAAATGTATATTTATTGTATAAATATTAAATTAGTGGAATTTTATTAAAATTTATAAATGTATATAAAAACAAAAATTTTACATAATATAATTACGTAAAATTTTAATACGAAAAAATTTGTCCCCGAGAGTAACATTAAACGCCATGACCTACAATATTGGAAGTTTAATGAGTATGAATGAGACCATCACTCAAATATTTGTTGGTTAGAAATTATTAAATAATATATTTTTTATTTAAAAAGTAAACTTGTCAAGTCCAACAAATTTTGATCCTTTAAACTTTTTCATGTAACTTTCAGTTTGACCCATAGATTGTGAATGGTGGATAGAGGCACAATTGAACCTGTTATGGAGGGGCCATATCTGGGAGCTTTAGCCCAAATCTCCCTTACCACCAAGTCACCCCTTTTTTCCTTGTGCCCTCGGCGACTACCTCCCCAAGGTGAGACATCAAAATGTCTCATTTAGGGATACCAACCCTGCAAGATACCACCCCAGGTGCCATAAGTGGTAATTCCCTCTTTGCAGCTGCAGCACCCGATGCTACAATTATTGGCATAATGACTGCACCACTGTCACCGCAGCAGCGTTAGCCAGGTCTGGCGTTCCTAGAATTGACTCCTACCACCAACTCACCCCAAACAAGTATCTCACCCCCTGTAAATACAGCCCTCAAAGCCAGAGAAGGGCATGTTATGTATAGTTACCCTGATAGTTTATAAGCCCAGAACCGTTCACATTACCCCCCTCCCATATTGGATATTAGGAGTCATACTTGGAACAGTGTTGTCTAGCTTGGTCTTTATTTGTGCTAGCGGTGCAACCCATCATACAGTGACATTCATCTCAAAAGGGAACATATTGGACTTGTCGATTCCAACGGTACAGAACCCAATTTTGCTGAGTTTCAAGTACATACTGGCGATAGTAGATAAGTTAACCTCTTCCATCGTATGACACTCATTGTTTCTGAGCATTATTAATTGTTGTTCAGATTATTTATTCATTTGTATACATTTACCATCATTCCAGTTTTTAACTTGTGATATATAAATTAACACTGTATTATGAATTATGTAACATTGAATCGTAAGCAAGGCCTTCATCCAAATAGAGCATTGTGAAAAATAAAGTGATTACTGTATACAAATTGCTTGTTAGTAGTAGGGGCAGAAAATAAAAGAAGGAAAAACACAAGAAGTAAAGCTTTTCATGTGTTGCTGACATTAGTTAATATTTTGTTTGATGATTGAATTCTTGATATGTCAGTTTCAACATAAAGAGAAGAAATCCTTATTTTCTATCTTCCACTGATTTCAATGTAATGCAATTGGTGACCATTTGATACTTATTTTCTTTGCTTTTTTTGTATCTTATTTGCATCTCTGCTAAGGAGGACATCTTATTTTTCCCCACAAAGAAAATAGTTATGGTTTGCATCTGTTAAACAATTTTGCACCAATGGACACCTGACTACATTTGGTTTGGATTATATGCATATGCCAAGCATGTGATCTATATTATTCCCTGACATTTACCAAAATATTTTCATTAAATTTCTAATTTAACATATTTTAGTGAGAAGAAAAAAATGTTAAGTTGTACATGTAATTTGTGTTTTAGAAGTGCCAGAGAAGAGTCAACACTGCACAGACTTCTATTCAAAACACTCCATGTCTTTGCGATTTGATTTCTTGAAAAAGATTGGTGAATATCTACTAAATCCTCACTAATGAAGAAATTCTATAGTCCAATTAAAGTCCTTGCAAACTTCGAATTTTATCCTGCATTTGCAAAATCATGTAAACAGACTTTCATTACTAAATGAATATGTAAATCATAGAACGAAAAATACGTGAGATTGATCTAAAAAATTTATGCACTTGGACGTTACCAAGCCATTTGCAAATGGGGAGCTTCCGGAACAGAGGTTGTAGCGAAAGAAACATGCAAAAATGAGAACACGACTAAAATACAAACTTGCATTAACATCATTTCTTCGGACCAAAAAAGCCAACACGTGGATATATTTGTTTTCCCCCAAAATACTTTTAAGGTAGGTAACAGTATTTAGAAGGGGAAGTCATTTGATTTAAAAGATACACTTCATATTCTCCTTAAGTCTTCATATTCACTTTTTACCGTATTACTTTTTTGAAATTTCTTTTATTCAATTTAACATTTTACATAAAACTTAAATTTAAAAAAAAAAATACACCCTCAATAGGGTTACCTTTTTCAAACATAAGTTCACCTTCTTTGTCAAAAAACTCAAAATAAAATTAAAAAAAAGAAAGAAAATGAAAACTACTCAAATGAGAAACAACATCCAATCGTCATGCACCAGCTTCTGTAGACCTGGTTTGTCTTTGCAACTCTTCATCTGCATTCCTTAGAAACTGATCCCAACCACTTCCAGGGCTGGTATCCAAGTAATCATATGGAACAGCTGTTTTAAGGCCTGGCCTAACAGCACAACGATCTTCCACAATTCTAAACTCAAAATCATCTCCTTGACTATAGATATACTCTAATTCATCCCATGTAAACAACAACGGCAATGTAAAGGCACCCCAAGGGTTGAAATCCACAACCTTAACTTTCTCATCCTTTGTAATGTAAACATCAAATGTGTAGTTCTCTGACTCAAATCTAGCTCTCACATAATTGTTGAAAAATCCCTGTATCAGGGGCAATAGGAGACCATTCTTCTTTTCAAGCAGAGCAGGATAAAAGGTGGTAACCTCCCGCTGAGAGATTCCAACTAGTTTCTGATCTCGTACAAAACACCGGAATTCCATGTCTGGCTGAAGGGATGGATACCATTTCCGGAGGGCAAGAAAGAAATTGTGGGGTCTGGAAGAAGATTTGTCATGGCAGGAATCATAAGCATGGCACAAGTCGTGGACCAATGAGTCAGATGCTCGGAACAAGAGCGCGATCTCACTAAAAGTAGTGCACTGGAGGGTACCGGCAGTGCTTATCCAAGCTGAATCTTTTGGGGCACTCCAATTCAACTTGGGGAAGACTGTACCCCCTAGGGACTCAATGGATTCCTTAATTTTCAATTCGAGTTCTGGAAAAGAAGGCGGAGGAGAAGGTTCTTCTGCTTCGTCGCTGGATCCCTCTGACACCTGAAAATCTTCTTCCTCATCAGGATTATGAATTCTATTGGGCAATGCATCTTCATTTAAGACAGAAACAGGTAATAGGAAGGGGCCGGAGTCATCAAGAAGGTACTGAATGAAAGATTCAGGAAGTTGATGAATTATGGTCCTGATGGATACAGATTTGAACTTTGGGTACCATTCCTGGATCTGACATCGGTTCACCTCTTCCTCTTTCATTTCTGTAAACAGTGGTTCCTCTCTCAAACAAAACCGGCTAAAATTCCTTTTCTTCAACTATCTGGCATTCAATAGCAAATGCACATGATTAATGCAGGCCAACTATCACTAGCAATAACTACGAACATTAAAAATGTAGTCTATATTACCAATAGAGCTTCAAAGCTGCTATAATTATGCAAGGAAAATATATATGGATCATTTATTTGTTCTCTGGGTATACTAGTAACAGGTGTCTATGCAAATAAAATGAACTCACCAAACCAATCTAATGCTCTATTGCATTGTAAAATATGGCAAAGAAAATAAGCAAGTGCAAAAATTTTACAAATACGTTAATAGGTATATTGCACATAATTAGATTAGGAGGGGCAAGACACAGTGATAATGACTCAGCAAGATGACGATGCACTTGATAAGTGATGCTGGCACACCAATTCTCAGCATTTACACCAAAGAAGCAAAAGCACAAATCTCTAACCAGAACAACTCAACTCATACACCATCCTCATTTCTCTATCATTCTTAGTTTATTACTAAACACTAAAGAGAAAAAATCAAAGCCACAAATAACTATAATTAAGTAAACAAAGAAACCCCAAAATGCCTAAACAGAAATCAAAACTTGACGAGACTAGAAGAAACAAAAGCTTTGCCAAAGCGATACTAACCGTGATGAAACCGTAACTGCGAAAGGGGAGCAGAACCACGAGCTGCAGCTCTGTTGAAAGCCCTAAATCGGTGTTAAATATTCAACCTATACGAAACGCAGAAGAAATTATATATTCAATGATACTGAGAAGTAATAACCAAAGTAAATATTAAATCCGAAGGGTTGCAATGCAATTGAGTGAACAAGGTTTGATTTTATCAGGTTCAAACTTTCGTGAAAGAAAATTCTTAAATTTCTTCGAATTCATAGGCAAACCGCCTTCTCCTGAAGCGCCTTGATAAAGAGTACGCAAGCAATGCGCAGGTATACGCGGCCAAGTAATATACGGTGTATTTAAGCTCCCAATATCATTTTCATTTGGCGAAAAAGTACAAAATAAAAATTGCAATCGCTCAAAACTAAGTTCTAAAGAGAAATTAAAATTAAATTGGTTAAACAAAATTGAGATGAACTAAAGATTACTATTCACTTGAAGGGTTCTAATTTCAAATTGAAGTCAGTTGCTCAATGCACCAAATAGAAGGTAAAAAATAAGTTGAGGAAATTATTATTATTTTTTTATTTTTTTTATTTTATTTTTTATTTTTTTATTTTTTTTAACCTCCAAAAAAGAAAATTATTTTTTTAGGGGGCGTTTGGTTTTGGAGAAATTTTATGAATAATAGGAAAAAGTTATACATAGAAAAATGGTTGAAGAGTGAGATAAGTACGAAAATGTAAAAAAAAGTTGTTTAGTTGGAAAAAAATTTACCGGAAAAATTAGATAACTTTTATGAAATCTATGTTTGGTTGTAGGTAAAATATAGATGGAAAAACAAGTTGATATTACGAAAATAACCCTGTTTGTAAAAAATTGATATTTGTGGGAAATCTATCTTGTCTCGAACACATTCGTTGATTCATCAGTGTCTCTATTCCAATTTTTATTTTTATTTTTTGCACTTTCCCTTTCCAATTATTTCACGTACAACAGATATATACATACATAGATATATAAAGTAACAAAACGACACAAATGGAAGGGTGAGCAAATAGCAGTTGGAAGGGTGAGGGTATGCTTTTCTTTTAACAGTTGGAAGGGTGAGCAAATAGCAAGCTTTTCAACAATACCACACTACCATAGGAAAACTTTCGCATGCTTTTTCCATAGAAATAGATACGCAAATCAGTTTCATAGCATTATGATTTACATAGCCAAATTTTGAAAATCCTTTAACCAAACATAGTAATCTTATAATTCCACTTCATATTTATCTATCATTCTCAACAAAATCCTTCAACCAAACAGCCCCTTAGTATTTTCTATTTGATTATATTTTGCAAGAATTATGAAGAACTTAAGTGAATGAAGAAAAATCAAAATGGACAAGATTTTAAGAATTTTAATTAGAAAAATGGGTTGGGTATGATTCTTTCCCTACAGATCATGATGTGTAATTACTTAGTAAAATTCTTTAACAATTATTTTTTCGTTGGCAGACTAATGTAGATTTTTAATCCCTTAAAAATCTTTTTCCCTTTGTTCCTACACAACTTATCCCTAAGCTGGTGGAATTTAGAGCTTGAAGTTCATGTCCTTATAACCACATGGAAGAGTAAAATTCACTCCTGAATTACTCCCTCAAATAATCCCTTATTTGAGTCCATGAATACAATTCAGTTTCCATAGAATAATATTTCCCCAATACACTTCTCCTAACACACACATAATTCATTCGACCGAAATAGAAAATGCATTCAAATATATATGCAGAGTTGAACTACAAAAAGTAAACATTAATATCATATATGTAATTAACATCAGTCACTGTAGTTGGGGTCTCAAACACCCAAACCTTAAAAAAGTTTAGCTCAAATCCATAAAGATTGAGCTAATTAACAGAAATGAAAGAAACTACAAAGATAATAAAAATGTGCAAAATTTTTAAATTACAGTACGAGTCCTATTTAACAAAATAGCCTCAACATTGTACTCACATTACATAATACAACGAAGAACTAAAAAAATCCAAAAATACTACAAGTCCATAATGCAGAAAAATAACAAAATAAGAAGATGATGCAGAAGAGGATCTGAGAGAGAGAGTCCCCTAAAAAATGTTCGCGCTTCTTATACTCGATCTCCTTCGCATGCATGGGCTTTGCGCCCTTTTCCAAATATCTCCACACGCGCTTCTTACTGCGAGTCACACGAGCACTCCTTGCTCCACGCTCTCCTCAATCGCTCCAACAAAAAGAATCTCACTACCCGATTGTAACAACCTCAAGTCACTATTCGGTTAGGGTCAGGCTTCTAGAACAATGGTCAAGTGAACCACTACAAGAAAAGGCTTATGTGGTTCAATGGCTAGCGAAAAAACGAGCTGGAAGGTCAATGGCACAGCTTTATGAGTGGCTTGAGATGACAGTTCGAATGGTGATAGGGGCTAGGGTTCGACTGCTTCGGTGTGTTTTCCAAATTTTTCAACGCTGCCCACCTTTTCTTTCTCCCCCTCTTTTCTTTCTGATACTTAATTGGGCTTTGTTGGGTTAACACCAGCCCATTTATTTTATTTCTCTTTTTGGACCTAAAACATAAAAAAAATAACCCATTAACTTTTTGCTCCATAACTTTTCAACTCATTGTAATTGGAGTTAATTTTTACCCAAAAAGCATTCTTTTTACCACCTTTTCATATCAACAACCATATGTTCTAAGTCACATTGCATAGACTTATCAATTAGCTTATCCTTTTTCGGATGACATTGGTCCAATTCACTTCTATTTCGACGAAGAGTTAGCTCTAGGGGTTTTAGCTCCAAGAACAAGATGATCTGATGAGATTATTTAAGTGGACTCTAGTAGTTAAAATTGGGATTTTACCTAAAATCGGAAAGAGAATAAAAAATCGTAAAACGTAAAATCCTAACGTAAAGAAAATCGTAAAAGCGTTTGAAGTTTTAATGAAATCGTTTTGATTAAAAAAATTAGTACAATCGTAAAATCGCAGATTTAAATTGAGATTTTAACTACCATAAGGATATTAAAAAAATATTAAATATAAAGTTTTGCCACTTTTTTTACCTTGAAAATAACGTTGATTGAAAGCGGGATTATATTAGTCTTTATCATTATAATTTTTGTAATTTTACAATCCCAAAACGACGTTGTTTTGAACTCACTAATGATAACTTTATCTGCAGTGACTAGAGAAATACTTATATATATATATATATTTGATATTTATATAGTGAATGCATATAATGAAATAAGTTATTTATATTTACTCTCAAAATGATATTAATTTTAGTTAAAAGATTAAAAAATTATAATGATAAAGACTGTTATAATCTTGAAATAAATTGCAATGACAAAAATACCTTGATTTTTGCTATAAAATGACATTATTTTGGGCTCAATACAAATAACTTATCTGCATTCATTGCAAAAAAATGAATCGTATATATATATATATATATATATATATATATATATATATATATATATATATATATATATATATATAGAAGATATTTTTATTATAAACCATATGTATCCTTTATGGGAGCCAATTCTCTTCAGGGCAGATCCAGGATTAAGATTTTAAACCCTTCCCAAAGATGGTACAACAAAAACACAAGCAACCACCCTACCTACTCAGTATATAAAGGATTTATTGTATCTCATATTATAAAAAATATTTTTTTATCTTTTATACACATAAAAATATTTAGGATTCATATTTTCTTTTTCTCTCTTCTCTTCACATACTCTCAGGTGTGACATGCTCCCACACTACGTTGCACTGACATCAACATGGACACGACATCATATCACACTCCGACATATTAATTCTAAAAAATGTTAGATTTTAACATGTTAAGACATATTTTGATATTAAATGATATTTTTAATATATATAATAGAGTTTACATTTAATACATATAGCAACTCATAATAAATCATATAATCAATCAAATATTCAAATCAAAAATAATTTTTCATACCTTATTAATATTTCATGTCAAATTCCATAATAGAAAATATTTAATTTATAAATTAATTTTTTAAGTTTCGTTAAAAAGATAAAATAAAATCAATTTCGGATCTGCACGAACGTTGACCGCGTGTCTGAAAGTGTTAATTACATGTCGGACGCATGTCGGAATATGTCAGAGTGTTGATTGTGTGTCACAAAAAATTGAGCGCATGTCAGAATGTGTCAACGTCCGAAACATGTCCAACATACATTTTTCAGAATAAAGCACATATCTGTGCTTTATAGCTCACACATATGTGTATGAGATAATATATTATATAAAAGAATGATTTAATATTTTTACAGTGAATGTTGATAAGGTATCTAACGACGTCGTTTTGAGTTTGTTATGTCCATGGGACAGAGATGCCCAGCCGAATAGGCTGGTACGTTTATCTTTGATCTAGTGCCCTCTCCAAGGTATCTATAAAGGAGATACCATTGAGTCAAGCAGATCACTGTGCACAGAATACTATAACGGCGTTAGCTAATAGGGTGTGTGTGCGCACAGTGACAGCATAACAGTAAGAGAGAGAGTGTAACGTACCTTTAGGGTTTACCTTGTATTTATAGAGGTTACCTGTGGGTAACATGGATAAGCCTTTGGTGCCTCTGGTAAGGGCTCAGGCCTGCTTGCTATGCTGTCGTATCAGGATTAGTATCCTTGATGGATATCTATCCATGATTATAATTGATTCAGATCTTGGATTTCCCCTTATTGGGCCTATCACTTAATGGGCCCCTTATATGGGTCCATAACAGTTGCCCCTCAGCCAGGCTACCTGGATATCCTGGTTGCCGGGGTGAACTTATGTGCATGTTTCTTTGGGTTTAGGTTCCTAAACGTGTTCACATTCTTTGCGACTTTCAAACTTTTGCAAAGTTTCTCGTTTTTTCGAGTTATTTCCATGTGAGGTATCTCTTGCCCTTTATCTCGACAGGCTGAGCATAAACCCGACGAGATATTGCTCATATCCTTTTTTTTGGATTGGGGGTAGTCTCAGGCAATTGGGGTTCAACTGGCGAGTTGTCCCTCCATGTCAGCATTTGTGCTTATTCCGAATTGTGGCTTATGCCAAAGACGGTTTTTCTTCATTCATTATATCGACAGGTTGAGCATCAACCGCGTTCGTACTCCGGGTTAGGGATGTGCTTAAGTTGTTGGAATCAAACTGGCGGGTTGCCGCCAAGCATCATACCCTAAATGGAATACGATTGTATGCCTTTGGTTACTTAGGCAACGGGTTTGCATGAACCCGACAGGATAGTT